CTTTGAGGACTTCACAGTCAGGTATGCCCACAGCCTTCTCCGAGGCCAACAAGGATTGCTCTTTGCCCAGATGGCAGGGCTTCTGAGCTGCAAGGCTGTTTTGTCTACAACACTCTGCCAGGAAAAAAAAAAGAGAGAGAGAGAGAGAGAGAGAGACCTGGCCCAGAGCTTCTAAAAGGGGCCACTCAGGGACTGACACTTTCTATGCTGAGGTCCCGTCTTTGGTGACTCAGGGTCCCGTGCTGATTCAGCTTGTCAAGCAAGCAGCCACTCTGCCCCTCTGGGAGAACTCTCCATGCCCATGCTCTGTGTGTATCCTCATGGGCACCTTGCTGGGGAGGATCTGAGTTCTGCCTAGGTGCTGCCTAGCCCTGCCCAGTTACCCCAGGATCACAAAAAGAAACCCCAGCAAGATGAAAGTTGTCAGCTGTATGTCTGCTACACAAGGACCCCTGGTGCTGAATAGACAATGGTGGGTGCTACAGATGGCAGGTGGAATGTGTCCTTGAGGGACCCCCAGTCAGTATCCTTTCTTTGGGAGAGCCCTGTGCAGGCCTTAGAGGCACAAAGACTGCGGGAGGTTGTGTGCACAGTCACTTTCATGTGAAGGGCGTGGGGAGATCTCTTTGCTGAAGATGGCCCTGTTGGGCACTCTGCTGAGTGAGTGACTCGCAGGGCAGAGTGGGGTGTGCCCAGCGGGAGAGCTGGTTAGGCCAGCCCCACCTTGCTGGCAGAAGCTTGGTTTCAAAATGGGCTAATAGCTAGGCACACAGACACTCTTTTCATCTTGGCCTGCCCAGGACATACATAACTCCAAAAGAGTCAGGCAGCTTCTGTCTGGTCAGCCAGAGCTTGAACAGAACTCATTGGGGACCACAGTGGGTGGAACCCAGACTACGCCATCAACATAGGTGGGTTTGCTCTTTCTGGAGGCCTCTTGCCTTCTAGCAGCTCACTTCTTGTATGGTGGTCCAGAGGCCATGAGAACCCCGAAGCCTAGCAACCAGTCTCTACTCCTCGCACAAAATTTCACTAAGGATCATAAGACCCCTTTCTGTGAGGATTTGCAGGGAGTCTAGCCCTGTGATAAGCATCGTAAAGAGCTTAAAGGAGTGACAGAAACCCACATTAGCAACTAGAGAGCAGGTAACTAGATCTGGTAAGTAGGTATGTGACCAAAGGCAACTAGGGGTGTGAGGAACGCTGGATGAGACTATAGCAGAGCAGGCTTCATGGAGATGATAGGTTTCAGCAAAGTAGGATTTGCAAGTTGATAGGAAGGGAAAGAGACACAGGACCGAGATGAGACTTAGCTGAAGCAGAGGTACAGGATGTAGCTGCTGTTATGGGACAGTGTGATGGGCTGTGTTGGAAGGGGAAGAGATGGCTGGATAGATGCCTGCCTTGTGAGAAGCAGAGACATTGCAAGCTGTCCAGCAAGGTCAGGTGCCAGTGGAAGCTTCCCCTGAGGAGGACGAAGGTAAAGGCATTCCGAGGCAGGGACTGGCTGGAGATGAGTAGGAGGTACTGGGGTTACACAGCAGTAAACTGAGGAAAATAATGACCACACTCTGTGCCATGGGATTCAAAGGGAGGGAACATAAAAATTCTCGGATGGAAAGAGACAGACACTATCTTTTCCTGCATAACTGTGCAGTGAACTCAGATAAACCAGTTCGCGGTATCCTCAGACTGCTTTGCTCTTCCAGCAGAAGTCAACTATATTCCCGTCTTTGAAGTCCTGGGTCTGGGGATGGCAGGGCTTACTTTGGTTTGCCACCCTCTAGGACTCAGTTTTCTTGCCTGCAGTGTAGGGGTAGGCCTCTGAGAGCTTCTGACTTAAGGAACAAGAGGAGACAGGACATTGAGTATGGGAGTTAAAAGAGCACACTTCTCCAAGAGGGGGAAGAAAAAGGGAGAGCAGGATTAGTTAGCTTGAATAGTGTTCCTGGCCTGCATTGGTCTGTGGTTCTGGCTGTTGACCACCAGGACCTCCACTGGAGTCCAAGTGGAGAAACTTTCTGCATTGAAGGGTCAGCTCTGCTCCCAGGAAGCTGAGTTTCTGATGTGAAACATCCTGGTCCATGGATCATCCCAGTCCAAGCTGGAGTTTCTCAAGGAAGCATGGAATACAGACTCCAAACAAGGCGTGTGTGTGTGTGTGTGTGTGTGTGTGTGTGTGTGTGTGTGTGACTGTGCTTTATACTCAAAGAGGAGGTAGCCAGAAGATCAGTATCTGGGTGTGTGTGGTGGGGCTAGATATGGGCCACAAAGTTCCCTTACCTGCTGCCCACAGGTGGCCACTGCCCACACAATCTCTTCTGGCTGCAGCTGCTCACTTGAGACAGGGAAGAGTGTTTGGAAATCGGGGGAGGGAACAGTTTTGCTAATCATAGTGACAGAGGGCCACTGCTAACTTTTAGGGCCTGGAGGCCAGGAACACTAAACATCCTGTGACGTTTGGAGCATCCTCCACGATGAATACTTGCCCTGCCTCAGATGCCAGCTGCAGCCATGCTGCTGTGGGAGTCCCAGCCAGGAGACTTGAGGGATGCACCTGGCTACCCATGTCACCATTGCCATTGCAGCCTTAGAGATGGTGGCTACCACTGGCTTACAGACCATCTGTGCAGGGAGGGCTAGTGGCAGTCTGCCTCATCTGAGTTTTAGAGAGAACTGAAACCCCTCATGACTCTGGCAGAGGACAAGGTTTAGTTGAGAAGGGTTTTTTGGGGTTTTTTTTGTTTTGTTTTGTTTTTTTGCTTGTCAAAGTGACAACAAAGAGATACAGTGATGGGAAAGAGCCACCCACAATTAACATAGTGGGACAACACAGGCCACTTGCACTGTGACTTGAGAAGCTGGAGTGAGGCGCCCAGGAACAGATGAGGCCACTGGCCAGATGCAGATGCAAGCCCATGGAGCGTCCTTGCCTTCTCCTCTTTGCTGTTCCCCTGTGGGTGCAGCCAGAGCCTGTTCCTTGGGGGCCGAGACTTGCCAGGGCTGCTGCTGCTCCTTTTCCCAGGCGGAGAGCAAAGCACAGAGCCTGTGTCAGGCTTAATCAGCATGATCACGTCTTCGCTGGGTTTGAGCCAGGCAAGCATCTGGATTTCTCATCAGGTGTCTGAGATGACATCCAGGTGTGTCATTTATTGGGAACAAGGAAGCTCCTTGTTGTGTTTCCTTCTAAGGCTTGGCCTGTCTTGGGGAGGTTCAGCTTTATCCCCAAAGTGCCATCTCCTACCTTCCTTCCCCAAAGGAGATTGCAGTGTGGCCCAGGGCAGAAGCAGTGGAGGCCTTGTTGAGTACTTTTCATGTAAACTCTAAGGTTCTCACTCTACATCCAAAAATACTGAGGTTCTCTTCCTCCTGGCTTGTTATTGTCCATTTGTTCCTCTCCAACCCACAGGCACTAGCTTCCTTTGGGGTGGGTTGGTTTGACCCAGTTCAAACAAGAAAATTTCTACTGCCTGAGTACACAGCTGGGTGTGTGGGTGAAGTAGATGCAATGTCATTGCCAAGGTTAATAATCTGTGGCTTCTGAGTTTTGGATGTGACTTCTAACTGGCAGTTTGACAGTCATGGGAGCTTGAACCATGGCTGTTTCCTGCTTTCTGTGACTCCCTAAAGAGTTGAAAGAGGACCCAGGTAAAGGCCAGCCTCTGCCCAGTTCTGTATAGCTAGATGTGGTGTGGAGGGGGAATTACCCAGAACTCCATGCCACCTTGGGTGGGGCAGGAAAGTTCTGGGCTGGACTTGGCCTCGGCTTTTCACAGCAAAGGTGAGTCCCAAGTCAGCACCTGTGTGGAGACATTTTATCAGGATCCATGTTGATCCTCTAGTTTGAGAACAAGTCCCAGCAGGCCAGACCCACCAGCTTGTGAGCTCTTGGGAAAGTCTTTCTTGGACAAGTCTGTCCCAGAGCTGATTCTCACTGAGGGTCTGGCTTTAAGCTCCTCCCAAGGAGGCTAACTCCCCGCAAGGCTCACCCAGAGACTTGGGGATGCCTCACTGTCCAGAGTACATTGTCCTGTACATTGTCCTGTTGGATTGTGTCTTTTCCAACATCTCCTCACTGCCAGCCTAATAATAAAGCCCAGAAGTCCACCATGACTGCCTCCCCACAGCACTGCAGCCATCTTTAGGTGCCAGATGGGTCCCGAACTGGCAGCTCCTGTTACAGAGGCCCAGGGGGCAGGAATACGGTGTCTCTGTGGCCTTTGAGAGAGGGTTTTCCCTTGAGGCCTGTTACCATCTGCTTCTTGCATTGGCCAAACAAGGAAGCAGGATGAGGAATATGGCAAAAAATGACGGTGGAAACAGCTGTGGCTGGCATAGAAGTTTCTGAGCCCTGCATACAAGAGACCCAGGAGGGCTGAGTGTGTTAACAGCTGCTGGGGCCTGGGGAAGACCCGAGGTGACAAGGTGAGGGCTGGGGATATAAGCTCAAGTCTTGCTTTCATCCTCTCCTCACCCAGGAACTGATGGAAGCCTCCTCCTCTCTGGGCCTGCAGCCTCCTGTTAAACTGTCCCCTGGTGGCCAGATCAAAGGCTGTCACACTCTCTTGGTGTATTCCCACAGGAAGAAGTATTTTCACATTGCAACCCAGCACCCATTCACTGTTGCACAGAACCACATGTGCACTGTGCTCTAGTGTTTCATATCCCAAGGTATATCATTTGTACTATATTTTTAATAATAATGAGCACAATCCACTACAGTGATTTCCTAATCCATGATGGGCTGTAACTTGTAGTTTAAAAAGTAATACAGGCAGGGGATATAGCTCACAGGTACAAAGTGCCCGCCTGGCTTGTGCCTAAGTTTGATTCCTGGTACCGAAAAAGTTATATAGCACATGTGTATTAGATTCTCCGAACATTTCTGGATTCTCAGAACCTTACTGTGGGAATCGGGAAAGTGCTGTATACTCTGGTCAGGCAGACCCAGATCCTTCATCAGGAAATTTGACTGAGCCTCTCTCCTTTCCCCTGTCCAGGTCTACAATGGGACCCTCAAGCGGGAGCCAGAAAACAGGCGCTTCAGCTCCTACAGCCAGATGGAGAGCTGGAGCCGGAACTATCCACGGGGCAGCTGTGCCACACCTGGGGCAGGCAGTGACATCTGCTTCATGCAGAAAATCAAGGCAAGCCGCAGTGAGCCTGACCTCTACTGTGACCCAAAGGGCACTTTGCGCAGGGGCACACTGACCAAGGGCCACAAGACCACCCAGAACCGCTACAGCTTCTACAGCACCTGCAGTGGCCAGAAAGCCATCAAGAAGTGCCCTGTGCACCCACCCTCCTGCGCCTCCAAGCAGGACCAGGTGTATGTGCCACCCATCTCTTGCAACAAAGACTTGTCCTTCGGCCACTCAAGGGCCAGCTCCAAGTGAGTGCTGCTGGGCTGGGGCGGGTGGGGAAGCGGTCAGCCAGGACCCAGTTGGGAGCAAGGGCCAGGGTAGGAGGACCTCAAACCTCAGCAACTTCTCAGCATGGAAGGGTGATGGAATCTAACCTTGAGTGCACAGCTTTTGAGGCCACAGGTTATGAACAGAGGGAGACTCCCTAGAGAAGGCTAGTGGTGCCAGGGGTTCTCCAAGTATGTTTGGCCCACCAGCATATTGCCATCACCTGGGAATTGTTAGAAATGTTCACTCTTGGATCTATCAGTGCTACTGTCTCACAGACCCTGGGGGGGCCCTGATGTGTGTTCCAGGAAGCCTTCTACATGATTGGCTCACACCAGTCTGAGAACCACCAATTTTAGGTTTGGCAATCCTGATCCATGTCCCAGAATGTAGACAATAAGATGGGTTATGGGTTGTGTTATAAGATGGGTAAGTTCAAAGGACAAATAGGACAGATGAACATGAACACAGGAATACGATCTAGGATTAAAGAATAGCGTACAACTCTGGCTGCCCACTGGGAACGGAGACTCAATATGGTGCCCAGTAAAGCCACAGGCATGGAGAAAGCAGGGGCCACAGTGTTATATGTGACACTGAGCCTTCCCTCCATCAGGCTCGGAGATCCATGAACCTTCCCACTGTCTTATATCTTATCGATCATCATGCATTTATTTGGCAAGTGTTTACCGAGCATTTACTACATGCCAGACTCCGGGGTGAGTGCAAGGAACACAGCCATGAATTATTTTTCACAGGGCACTAGGAATTTTGCAGGTTTTGACAACCCGTTCCAGCAGTCATTAGCATTCTTGAGGAGGAACCAGGCAGAGATGTTAACTAGCTTACTCTAGGCCACAAAACTGACTCCACATCCTGTGTTCTTTCCTACCAATTCCACCCTGTTCTTAAATCAAGGAGAAAGGAGTCGCCTTCTACTTAAAGACCATGGAGTCTGTTTAGGATCATTTGGGAAAGGGTTAAGAACTCTGACCTTGAGCCAGGCATGGTGGCTCATGCCTGTAATCCCAGCATTTGGGAGGCTGAGGCAGGAGGATTGTTGTGAGTTCGAGACCAGACTAGGCTACAAAGTGAGCTCAAGGCCAGCCTGAACTGCATACAGACCTTGTCTCCAAAAGACAGAAAAAAAAAAAAGAACTCTGACCTTCCATAGACTGATCAGGGCAGCATTTTGCTTCACCTAGAGACTGAGTGGAGGGCCTGGGTCAGGGACAGAGGGGATGAGTGATAGCCATTTAGACTGATAAATGCAGGAAAGGGAACGGGTACTCCTAACAGTGTCAAGGAGCTCTGCCTCTTGGAAGGTTTTTTTAGAAACAAGTCTGGTTCACCCCTGCTACAGTCATGACTATTTACTGATGGAAAAATGGGGAGAGGGCTTCCTGTATAAATGCTAAACGGATCCACAGAGTAGAGCTATGTGCCACAGAGGACCTGTCCCTGCCCTTAGGAACCTCGCCATGTCTGTTGGGAAGCAGGATTCGCTCCAATGGAAAGGTCTCCTGTCACTCCATGCCATGGGAGCTTGAGAAGCTCCTAGAGAGAGGCCCATGCCCAGCAGCCTTCACATCAGTCTCCAGTATCATGGGGCAGCCTTGGGGCCTGACAGTCTTGCTGCAGTAGACCCGTGGCAGGGACCAGAGAGTGCACAAGATGACACAATGGAGCTTATTAGGTTACAGCATGAAATTTACAGTTTTGTGGCTCAAAAAAATGTGAGCTATTAGACATTTCCTATGGTCTAACCTAATGTATGCCCTTGGATTTCAGTTGAAGCAATTTAAACTTGAACCTGCTACTGCAGAAGCTGGTGATGGTTTCTAAGCTGGGCAATAGTACAGGGGACAGGGCTTTAGGAAAACTTTTCTGTTTAAATTTGTAACATGTTGGATGGAAGAGTTTGGAGGGAAAAGCAAGAGCTGCAGAGGTCTCTTGCCACAACCCTCCAGGGAAGTGATCCTGATCCAGAGAAAAGTGCTGGCTAGGAAGAAAGGTAGATGTGAAAATTTTTGTGTAACAAGAGCCAGTAGGATCTGGGGGTGGATGGATTGATGGATGAATGAACTGATGGATGGATGGATGGACTGATGGATGGACGGATTGACTGATGGATGTATGGATGAATAGATAGATAATAGATGGATAGAATAGATAAGCTCAGCCATTCTTTCCCATTTTCCCAATACCAGCACAAGTATGAGAGATGGTGAGTTAGTGGCAGGGCTTCCCTTAAAGCAACTGGCTGGGATTTTGCAATGTTAAGGTCTGGCCTGCTCAGACCTTAACATAACCCATCACACTTATCACAGCCAGTGTCCCTTGAGGGGAAATCTTATGTGTGAGCCTGTCCCTTCTCTAGGGAAGCTGTCCCAAAGGCTTTCTCCAAATGAGCTAGGCTGCCTTGTTTTGACCCTCTGGAGGTCAGATGAGGCTGTGTCAACTCAGATGTGGATCTCAGAAGGGTTCTGAACCTACTCACCAGGGTGCCCAGCTCCCCCATGACACACCGTGCTGCTTGTTCCTCACAGGATCTGCAGTGAGGACATTGAGTGCAGTGGACTGACTATCCCCAAGGCTGTGCAGTACTTGAGCTCCCAGGATGAGAAGTACCAGGCTATCGGGGCCTATTACATCCAGCACACCTGCTTCCAGGATGAATCCGCCAAGCAACAGGTAGCTGGCCACACACCTTCCTCCCAGAAGGCCTGGGCAGGGCCTAAGCATGGCAATCTGACCCTGCATCTGAAGATGGGTAGGGGTATTTTTAGTTGTCTCCTTCTCGCTGTGCCCGCTGTCAGGGATAAGGAGCATACCTGACATTTCCCAGGATCAGAGTTGGCATCTTAATGTGCAGAGCAAAACTCTCTGTGGGCTAGACATTAGGGATGTACATTTCCACCTGCTGGTCATGAAAGAGAACTTTCAATGAGAACTATGGGTCACCAGAAATCTCTTTAAATTCCAATAAGGAACACAATTGTCCCCACTCCCTACCTCTCAGCTCCCACCCCCTACCTTTCGGCCACTCCTACCTCTCATCTTAGAGTGGTATCTACTTCCTCAAGTATGGTGGGCAGCTGGGAAAACCACAGGCTCTGCAGTCCAGCCCAATTTGTTGTGTCATAAATGGACTCCCTAGCAGCCAAGGTTAGTTAGCATGAAAGTTTCTGGTAGGAGAAGGAGTTCCCAGGAGAACATCTCTCTCACATCTGTGCTCTGCCTAAGGATTCTGAGGTACACATGTGTACATTTGTTCATCCAGCCCCCACCATCACACTCCAGAGGAAGAAAATAGGGCTCAAGGAAGAAGGGTTTGGTTCCTTGCTTGCAGTCACTCTGCTGGGTTGCAAAAAGCCTAGGATCTAAATGCAGGTTTTTTTGGTTACTGGGCTGGGTCAGTTACCATTTCCTCATGCTACTAATCTGTTTTGGTTTTCTTAGATATTTCTAAACTGAAAGTAGATTTTTTTGGGCCTGAGAAAAATTTACTTTGAGCAGAGAATAACTGGCATGGCCTCCCCACCCCACCCCACCCCATCATCCATCAACCATGCAATGTGGCAACTCTTCCTGCAGGTCTACCAGTTGGGAGGCATCTGCAAGCTGGTGGACCTCCTCCGTAGCCCCAACCAGAATGTCCAGCAGGCCGCCGCGGGGGCCCTGCGCAACCTGGTGTTTCGGAGCAATACTAACAAGTTGGAGACCCGGAGGCAGAATGGGATCCGTGAGGCTGTCAACCTCCTGCGGAGAACCGGGAGCACGGAGATCCAGAAACAACTGACAGGTAGGGGGCCCAGCATGGAGAGCCAGGGCGCGGCTGTGCAAGGCCACTGGCTGGGATGCAAGCCGGCCTCTTTGGATCCTGACCAAGTCACCCCTGTGTGCAGATCTGACCTGGGCTAATATCATAGAAGTCCGATGCCACCAGCCTTAGCCAGATTAGCACATTTCCCCATATAGGTGCGCATGATTGTAGCTATTAACTCAGCTCACTTCTAGAAAAACCATCCAAGGGACGGAACTCTCAGTACAAGAGCACCTTTGCCCTGCACTACTTGACAACTTGCAACTGTCAATCAAATGTCACTAGATGATAACCCTTGGTTGGTGTCACACACACACACACCCCATACACACAAGAGATAGGTTCTGTCTTTTTAAGGGTAAAGGGCAAGGGGAGGAAGGCTGATATCCAGGTAGGGCCCATATGTAGCAGACCCTAGGATTTGTAGGTCCTAGGGAGACAGTAAAGCCAATATAGGCAGGGTTTGATTTACAGTCTTGAGTGCCCACCTGTGCCAAAGTTACTGGAAGCTCTCTGGGTGAAGCTTCAGAGAGGAAAGATACCACTGTGAAGACCTCAAATTGCACCAGGATAACAAGTCTGTGTATAGAGTAACAGTTGACAAGGACTTCTGAAAAGACTTTCAGATGGAAAACAGAGAATATAGAAGATCCCAGGTGCTAATATTTATATTTAAAACCACTGATCATTTGGGGCTGATGGCATACACTTATACTCCCAGCTATTTAGGAGACCAAAGGAGGAGACTCAAGTTCAAGGCCCGCCCACCTGGCCAACCTAGGAAGACCTCACCTCAAAAACAAAACAAAAAAGGGCTAATATATCTACAGGGTAGGATGCTTGTCTGGTGTGCATAAGGTTCTGGGCTCAATAGGCAGTATCTCAATAATAAATAAATATTAAAGCCACTGATCAAATATATCCATGTGCTTCATTTTGACCTCAACAGAGAAGTCCAGATGTTCCCTATGCTCTAGAGACCCTCATTCCAGTGAGGACATTAAAAAAGTGCTCAGGAAAGAGTCATAAATGTGTTCAGTGGACCAAGGCTACCACGGAGGATCCATCCGCTAGAGCCCAGGCTTGAGGCAGGACACCAAGGCCCTGGGTTCCTCTGAACCTGCAAGTGCTGAGCTGACTCTGCTCATCCCTCAGGGCTGCTCTGGAACCTGTCTTCCACTGACGAGCTCAAGGAGGAGCTGGTGGCTGATGCCCTGCCTGTTCTGGCTGACCGGGTCATCATTCCCTTCTCGGGCTGGTGTGATGGCAACAGCAACATGTCCAGGGACGCGGTGGACCCTGAGGTCTTCTTCAATGCCACAGGCTGCTTGAGGTGAGAGAAGAGCACAGAGGGGCTCTTTCTGCCCCAGCCCAGGACCTTTCCCCAGGCAGCCCCTCTCTGGCATCATCTGGCCAGCGCAGAGAACCCAGAATCCAGCCTGACTGTGGCTCTTGAAAGGCCAGGCTCCAAGAAAGAGGTCAGCCATGGCTTACTAGTGTCTCTAGGTGTGGGTGAGGCCCAGGACCCCGTTACCTCCCTTAACCTAATTAGGAATATAGCAGATATGATTTGGAGTTGAAGAGTCAAAATGCCTGGATCTGAGCATTCAAACTGGCTCAACAATCCATCCCGCTCTGCCCCTGGAAAAATCCACTCCTTGTACTATCTTGAGAGCATTCTTTCAGACAAAGTCTACCATTTGGCTGCTTATGAGTCACTTTCCCACTGTGGTGCTGTACCCGTTTGACAAGCTCAGATGGTACTGCTTTGCCCAAAGTTGTTTGAGTTCCATGCCAGGGTGTGGCAGAGCCCCTGTGGGGCTGCTGGAAGAGGGATTTGGCTCTGCCTATTCTCAGAGAAGAGGTTTCCAGGCTGAGGAATGAGCCCCCACAAGAAGTGTGGGACTGTGGAACAAGATTCCCCCTTAGGGTCACACATTGCTCCCGCAGGGTTTGTCTTCCCCAGCTCCTGGGAAGTCCCAGAGTGGTGGGTGCAGCTGGCACGAGCTTCTGTGGCTCAACTTGTGCTTTCCTGCCAGCTTCCAGCAGCAACCTCCAGAAAGCAAAGACACCAGATAAAAAGCCAGTTAATTAAGGATTTTATAGGCTACAGGGCTGCTGGAAGCAACAGTAGACACACACACACACACACACACCACCACCACCACCATCAGGCGAAAGACCACTTGCATGGATCAGCTAGCACTGAGGCAGAACACAACTTGCTTAGAGAGGTGGGTGCATCTGGTCCCCTGAGCTTCATTCTCTCATCCCACACACTCTGCAGAGATTCTTCCTACTCCACATAAAGAGGCCTGCCCTGTAGGAGCTTCTTCCCACTAGATGTGGTGGGCATCTAGTGGGGAGTGGGGAGCTGCCACTCACAGTTTACAGTGAAACCATTGAGAACTAAATAATTTTTCTTTCCTTCCTTTTTTCTTTCATTTTCTTCCTTCATTCCTTCTCTTACCACAACCTCCAACCTCCCCCTGCCCATTCTGCCTGCCTGTTCCATACCCTGCATGGCCCCCTACACTCTCTCCTCCGTCCTGACCCTCTCTTTGCCAGTTACCACATCCTCCTCCTTCTGTCCACAGGAACCTGAGCTCTGCAGATGCTGGCCGCCAGACCATGCGGAACTACACAGGGCTCATCGACTCCCTCATAGCCTATGTCCAGAACTGCGTGGCGGCCAGCCGTTGTGATGACAAGGTGAGAGCACAGCCCCTGGTGGCACCTCAACCACTGTGTCCAGAGTTACAAAGCCCAGAGCCAGCATTCAGATCAGTGAGGCCAGATCCTCAAACTCCAGGTTCTAACATTTCTGTCTCCCGGATCCCACGAGTCAGAGTTCATCCTTTGGATGGCTTTGAGACTAGCCCCAGTGACAGAACAGACAGTCTAGGGCAGCAGAGGAGGTGTTGGAGGCAGGGCACAGCACACAAGCAAACTCGGGGGCCACACTCTCCCTGATGCTCCCGATGTATTCCAGAGCCTCCATGTCCTTTCTGAAGTGATACTCTTTCTATCACAGCTCACTTCCCACTTCCTTCCAAAAAAGCCTCCTGCCATCAGCGAAAGAAGGGACAAGTCATGGAAGGAAGATAAGCTGAGGACTGGGTAATTCCCAGCACAGCAGGACAATGGCTCAGTGGGCAGGGAAGTCTAGCAGTCCCCAGGGGACAGCTGGGGTCTCATAGCACTTGAGTCCTGAGTGCTATTCCCATGAGGAAGGATTTTACTTCCTCTTCCCTCCCCTGGAAGTGACAAAAGGACTCCAGAGGACAGGCGTGTCACCTGGCTGCCCAGCTTGGTTCCCTGGGCAAATCACTTTTCTGCTCTGTACATCTCCTACACCTGTGTGACCCTGGAGGCCAGAGTTCCTCAGACCCCCACAGGGACCACGCAGGGAAAGGAGGGTAAAGCTGCTACCCCCAGCCATGCCTGGGGGTCCACCAAGGGCAGGTGCATGTGTGTAGCACTGTGACACTGGAGGCTGAGGAACAGCAGACGAAATAGGAAGGGCATGAGATGGAGGGGGCTTTGGCCTCAAGGAGGTTGTTGAGAAGGGAAGGTGCGTGCTGCAGCACTGCAGTCCTCCAGCCAGCCACATCGTCCAGGGCAAACTGTCACCGGCGCCTGTCGTGACCTGCAAACGGTCCCGTGATTGGGACTCTCCACACACAGCTCTCCCTTGGAAACTGGGGGTGATTCCAAGGTGCCAGTGGCACCAAAATCCATGGGTGTTCAAGCCCTTCTGTAAAGTGGTGGAATATTTGAATACAACCTATACATATCCTGTCATCGTTCATAAGCAATAAGATTATTTGTAACACCTGTACTTACATGACACAATGTCCATGCTACGTAAATGATTGTTGTACTGTATTGTTTAGGGAATAATGACCAAAAAAGTCAGCACTTGTTCAATACAGATGTAATTTTTTAAAAAAACTATTTTAATCAGTTAAATCTGCGGATATAGATCCCAAAGATACAGGGGAACCCTGTATAATCTTCCCAATTGCCACTGAAATGATTTCAGTTCCATTTTATGGCTGAGGAAATTGAGGTCCACAAAGGTGAGGCAAGTCATTTAGGTTCAAATAGCCAGGAAATGACAGAGCCAGGATTCAAAGTCAGGCCCCTGTGGAGTCCTCGAGAGATCCTTGCAGACTGAGGGTGCAGCAGGCATCTGTTCATCTCTCTGGATGCTGCTTTGGTCAGGCAGATGGGTGGCAAGCCTTGGAGCCCCCTGGGGGCTTGGTGGTGGCTCACATGCGTGCCCCTGCTCACTCTGCAGTCCGTGGAGAACTGCATGTGCATCCTGCATAACCTCTCCTACCGCCTGGACGCTGAGGTGCCCACCCGCTACCGCCAGCTGGAGTACAACGCCCGCAATGCCTACATGGAGAAATCTTCCACCGGCTGCTTCAGCAACAAGAGTGACAAGATGATGGTGAGCACTGTCCCTTGGAAGAGCCAGGGCCACCTCGGGTTCCCTGCCCTGTCCACCCTTCCTCTCAGCTCTTGTGGAGTCTGCCAAAGCCTCGGCCCTGGGAGTGTGCTGTCAGCCCCAGAACATCCTTGTGGGCCTAAGGCAGGTCAAACCCACATTCTGACCTCAGATGATAGGAAGCATCTTGCTGTGAGACCCCAAAGTGGCCTCCCACAGCCGGAAGGTCCAGGTTGAGGCAGCCGTGGAGCACACTTCCCAAGGTATCAGGAATGCCACCTGCATCCCCACTCCCACCCCTAAACAGTCAAGGACCTCTCTGTGGAGTTCTAGGACCCACAGAAGTGAAGCATGCAAGGACTGTCCCTGGGCCCCCTGCCTCTGCAAGACCCTGAATTTCAGGGAGGGAGAGGATGCTTGGCTTGCTGACCTGCTGTCTGTCCGTAGAACAACAACTACGAGTGCCCCCTTCCGGAGGAAGAGACCAATCCCAGGGGCAGCAGCTGGCTGTACCACTCAGATGCCATCCGCACCTACCTGAACCTCATGGGCAAGAGCAAGAAGGATGCCACCCTGGAGGCCTGTGCTGGTGCCCTGCAGAACCTGACGGCCAGCAAGGGGCTGGTGAGGCGTGCCCTCTCATCTGCTGCTCCCCACACTCCAAGCTCAGTTCCCTGTTTTTCCCACCAGCCTGTCCCCACCAAACACTTGCAGACTTCATGCTGCAGATATGAGCATGAGAGGCCCTGGGCTGGGCATGGAGGAGGTGATGAGGGAGATGCCTCTGCCGGGTGGGAGCTCCAGGCCTGTGCCCACTGACCTGTTGCCTCATGGCTCCTGTCCCAGTGTTGACCTCCTAATTGCCTGGGATGGAGCGTGTGTTTGGCAGGGGTCTCTGTTTGCTGAACTGACAGAGTAGGATGAAACTTGGAACATGAGCAGGTCCACAGGAAGATGCAACAAAACTAGAACCCAAATACAGCTTTGAAGACCTGATACAGAGTGGGGTCAGAAAAGAACTGTCCCTTGGCTTTACTTTGGATGAAAGGGATTTGGGCAGCAGCTGATGACCTAAGGGTAAAAGAAACCTGCCTGTGAGGGGAAGAGACAGAGGTCTTCATGACCTGAAACTTGCCTGGCCCAGGCCCTAGCAGGACACCTCATTTCTCAGAGGCCTGGATGAGCTGGGCTACCTCCGGGAGACCCCAAGTATATTCCCATAAAGCCCAGATGTCTGATAGACAGGTCCACAACAAATGTGATTTGAATTTCAGCATATCTAGGGAAATTAGAAGATAACATTTTGTTTTGTTTTGTGTTGTGTTGTGTTGTTGGGTTTAGAACTCAGGATGCTAGACAAGTGCCAAACCACTGAGCTACACCCCTTGCCCTGGCCCTTCTTTAAGTGACAAATCCCTTGGCCGTGTCATCCCCTGTGAGCAAGGAAGGATGTTTGAGGGAGGCACAGCTGAGACAGTTGGATAAGCTTAAAAGCTGAAGGCTGTCATCCAGGGGGCAGCGAGCAAGGGTGGGAAGGGGCAAGTAGTCCTGGGTTCCGTAAGCACCCAAGTGTGAACAATTGTGTGTCAGCTTCCAGTGTGAAGGAGAAAAGGTCCTGGGCCCTGGGCTTGGGATTGCCTGTTGCTCTCTGCCTGCCTGGTGGTTGGGAAGCTGCAAGCCAGCTCCTCCTGGGGCCTTCTCTCATAGATGTCCAGTGGCATGAGCCAGCTGATCGGACTGAAGGAAAAGGGTTTGCCACAAATTGCCCGCCTCCTACAATCTGGAAATTCGGATGTGGTGCGGTCTGGGGCCTCCCTCCTGAGCAACATGTCCCGCCATCCTGTGCTGCACAGAGTGATGGGTAAGGCGCCTGCTCCCCACCCCCATAGGACATGGCAGGCTGTTCGGGTCCCAGAGCCTGCTGGAAGGTCACCACTGGCCCATTCTCCAGGGCAAGCATTCAGAAGGGAAGCTGGCCCAAGAGACAGGAGGCGGCTGAGGTGGGGGAATGCCTCTGCAGAGGTTCCTTCTGAATTAGAACTGGCATGGGGTCTTGCAGGCAGTCTAGGACTGTGACCTTGGAGGGAACCCCTGAGCCCCTCCCTTCCTTGGTAATCCTGACCCTGTGCCAATTCCCTCCTCTCCCAGGGAATCAAGTGTTCCCAGAGGTGACTAGGCTTCTCACCAGCCATACTGGCAACACCAACAACTCTGAAGATATCTTGTCCTCAGCCTGCTACACTGTGAGGAACCTGATGACCTCACAGCCACAGCTGGCCAAGCAGTACTTCTCCAGCAGCATGCTCAATAATGTCATCAACCTGTGCCGTGGCAGGTGGGTGGGCATAGAACAGCGCCCCCTGTCGGCCTTCCCTCAGCATGGCCCTTCTCCCTGTGCAGCAGGCCCTGGGGTGGAGGGCAAAAGCATCTAGTACAAGAAGCAGCAGGGATGCTGCCTCTAATGAGAGAGAAGTTCCTGAAGCCAAGAGAGCTGGGGGCTACAAGCATTTTCTCCAGGCCTTGGGGGTGCACAGAGGGGCAGAGGTAGTACACTTCTTGTCTGATAGACCTGCAGGGGTACCGGATCCTTAGAGGATCAGTAGGAGACATGGGGCACAGACCCAACAGCATGGAAACTTTGCTGTGCTCCACAGGACCCCATCTCCCAGAACAAGGGCTGGGGACCAGCTCATGGCCCCTAGGATGCCTCTAGGTGGGCAGGGATAAGGGCATGCTCTGCCATGCATGCCATGTATGCCAAGGAGGGTGGGAGGCACGAGTCTCCTCTCACAGTTACACTTCCCACCTGCACAGCACCTCACCCAAAGCTGCAGAGGCTGCCCGGCTCCTCCTGTCTGACATGTGGGCCAACAAGGAGCTTCAGGGTGTCCTCAGACAGGTAAGAGCCCACACCACGAACCCTTCTGATGAGCTCTTCCCCCAACTTACCCTGTACTGAAATCCCAGGGAACCAAGAAGGGAGAGGCAGATTGGTCCCCACCAACTGAGGGGAGACTCCTACCCAACAAGTGTCTGAGAAGCGATGCATGTGATCAACACTCTGTCCAGATCCCCAAGCCCTGGGAGCTACCAGCGTTATCAAGTGTGTGAAGGGCAGAGGAAGTGTGTGAGTGGTCTGGAGCATGGCTTAGGAGCAAACTGACAAAGCAAGGGGAGCAAGGAGCACACAGGTCGTTGGCAGGAGCTAGCTGTGCACTTAGGCTGAGAAGGCAGGCTTGGGCTGGTTTACATGACTCCTTCAGTTGTAGGCCAAAGAGTTTGGACTTGTGCCTTTGTGCCAACCAAGGTCTTGAACAGAAGGTCTCATAATGGAAGCATGATGAATTCCACACCAATGAATGAGGCCGAGTGGACCTGGAGGCTGCCACGATTGCCTAGGGAGATCTGTGTGCCCTGTGTCCTCAGTGACCCCCAGTGTAAGCAGACACCAAGGCCTTTCTTGGGGCTTGTGATAGGAGACATCTTCACATGACCCTTCTTCCCCAGTCTTGCAGCAGCCATTGTTTAGCCTGAGATGTGGGCCGCAGAGAGGTGGGGCTGGAAGGAGCAGAAAGGCAGGACTAATGACTCGGGGCTTTCACTTGAAGATGTCATAGTTGCATAAACAGAAGTATATCAGTTGGCAAGAGGTCAGGAGGCTCTTGGAGTGAGGTTGAATCTGGACAGCTTGGGTGGAAACCAAGCAGGATGTGATGTGGGGCCCTGGCAGAGGGGCTAGAGCTGCAGCACAGACTGGTAAGGCCATGAGAGCAGAGACGACCTCCCTGGGGCCCTTGATTACAGAAAAGACTTCAGGGTCAAAGGCAGGAGCATGAAGACCTCACCTGTGAGCTGAGAAGGAAGAAGGAGAGGAAAGCAGGAGGATGTGTACAGGGTGACCAGGAAGGGGCAGAAGACCTCGTGGGAAGGAGAGAGCTCCCAGGAACTGTGGGCAGCACTCCCAGTGCTATGGAGGGGACAAAGGGGACAGGGACCAGGAAAGGCCCTGGATCTGTCTGGTACTTCAGAGTCTCTGTGGACCTCAGAACACTGCGGCCCAGCAAGGCGAGCATTTTGGAGTGAGAGTGGGTGAGGTAATGATGGAAATGGGAGTGTAGGGGGCCACAGTTTGTCCTGAAAGAAAGTAAAGAAGAGGTAGGTCAAAAGACAGGGGATCTGAGTTCTGAATGAAGAGGGCGGAGAAGGGAGAACAAAGGGGGTGCAGTGCAAGGAGGGGGACGCACACCCACTTGAGCTCTCTGGGCGGAAGGGGGATCAGCTCTTCTCCAGCACTGCAGGGAAATAGTAAAGGGGCCAGAAAGTCGTTGTGGTCCCGGAGGGTTCAGAAATCTGCATTTAAACAGGCACTTGTTCCACACTTGACAATCCAGAGCCCTCTTTTGAAAATACCACCATAATGGTGGGCTTAGCCAAGTGCAACTGCCAGGCAGACCCAGGGGAAGGGGAAGAGGCAGGTAAGCAGGACAGGGTGAGAGTTTCCTTGAGCTATCTGAGGGAGCTGCAGAGGACACAGCTCCCCACTCCTGGCTACAGCATGCAGGGGATCCACTTACTGCACTGTCTGTGAGAATTCCTTCGATAGGATGCCTTTGGAGGCCTGGGTGCCCCTTAATCTCCACTCCTCCCTCTAGCCATGCTTGACAGCAACCTGGGTAGGGTCCAGGTTGCAGCCTCTGTTCCTGACACTCATTCACACCCATCATTCATCGGCTTGTCACAGGGGCAGGTGAGACAGGTCACGCGGCTTATACCTATTTTGCTGAATAGGGACTCAAAGTCCAGGGAGTTTGTCTAGATTCAGCAAGTCAGGGCACAAGGAGGCTAAGATCCAGGGCCTTTCACCTGCGCGTTCTTTCCACCCAATTCAGCCAAGCTGAACAGGAGCGAGCAAGCACATCTGCAGGGGAAAAACAGCATCACGCACTGCATGCCCAAGCAGAGTGGGACTGGGGCTCTGCCTGGCTGCTGCTGTATGCCCCATGTGTCATCTCCTCTCTTGTTCCTGGGGGCCTGAGATACCAATCCGACCTAACCCTCTGCTCAAGCCCCCCAGTTAGTGGCTCCTCTGACACTGTGCCATCCTCCTTCCCTCTGGAGCCTGTATTGAACACCTGCTCTGCACTAGAGAAAGAACAGGATCGAGCCTCAGTCTGCTTCCATTAGGAGCTGGGGCTGGAGCTGGGGTGAGGCTGGGCTGGGCTGAGGAGGGGAGCTGCTGCTGGTAGGAGCTGGTCTGACTTTGAGAAGCACTGAGCCCATTCTCCCTACCCAGCAGCTCTTGCTGGACTTTAAACAACAATAACAAAAAAGAAAAACAAGGGCAGTCAGAGAGAGAAAAACTGTCAAGTTCTTGTAATCTGATTTGGGTTGTTACAGCACAGTCATGAGTACCTGCCTGGATTCTCATGCCCCGACTTGGGTCTCTGCAGAAATGAGCCTGGGCTGGTGAGCAGCCAGACACATTCCCTGACTTGTGGGTATTAGCAGCATAGCATTTAATTGCACAGTCAATTAGGCCAATTTTAGCCCCAACTTATATAAAATGCTCAGAACACACATGGGTACAGAGGCTGGTGTGAGCTGAGGATGCTCTTCTGGGAGGGCATCTTTGATCCCCCAGAATGTGTCACATAGTACTGTTTCTCCTCTTGCAGCAAGGTTTCGATAGGAACATGCTGGGAACCCTAGCTGGGGCCAACAGCCTCAGGAACTTTACCTCCAGATTCTAAGAAGAGACTTTCCAGGCAAGCTTGGCTTGCAGGTAAGAACTGGCCTATCCCAGGGCGAGGGACACTTCCAACACTACTGCTGCAGCTTCAGACAGCCTCAGAGACTGGGGTTAGGCCCATGCTCCCCAGGAACACAACCCCCTCCCCTGCCCGCTGGACAGCCTTGCTCTGTCTGACAGAAGAAATTTGAAGATAGTTATGCAGACTCGGGCTGAGGGCATGGGCTGTCCAGCACAGGACATCAGAGATGTATGATGTCCTGGTGGCACCAGAAGTGCCAGAAGGTCTGGGTGAGACTTGTAGGTACAACTGTGTAAGTTGCCTACAGTACAACCCAGGACAGAGAATGTATAGTGGAGCTAAACGGTAGTCATCCACTGCTCACTTTGTATTATATAACAGTCAGCCATGGCACACTTCCTATAATGAACTTTCCAGGCTTTGCACATGCCTAGTGTGGACAAGCTTATTTCCAGCTGAGATGTAAAGGACCAGAAACTCAGAACCAATACTTGGTTGAAGGTTTGTGAGCCTTAGCATCCATTAGAGTCTTCTGGGACATTGGCTAAAATGCACTCTCTTGATCCCCAGTAGCTCTGATTTGGTAGCCCCAGGGTGGGGTTCAGGAAAATGTATTTTTAGACAAGCACTCAAAGTGCTCCTGCTTCAGGTAAGCTGAGTCCACAGCTAGATACTCAAATCAGACACCTACAAACCTAGAGAGGAGCCTAGAGGTAGCCCCAGTGTGAAGCCATCTGCAAATCAACAGAACAAGAGGAACAGGGATGAGGCCTCCTGACCTCTCTACCTAAGCCATGTACTGGCAGCTACTTACCCCTGAATCCCAGGGAGGGTCCCAGTGGGGTGAGAGGGCTGAAACTGTGTCAGGACAAACCATGTTGGATCACACCTTTCCAGACAGGTGACACTTTAGCAACTCTTTCCTCGGGAAAGAGGAAAAAATGGGCTGCAGATTTCTAATGAGCACATGATGCTTAGTACTGGAAAGGGGAGCAGGGGATGCTGGGAGCGGCAGGTCACAGCCAACCAGCATGTTCCTGACTGACAGGAAATTGTCAAGGTGGCCTTCAGTCCATTCTTAGGCCAGAGCACACCCTAGGGCAGGATTCGGTGGCAGGGCAGGTGGTATTGGTGGACTTACTGGTACAGAACCATCTTATACCATGCTAACTTAAGAATTGCTTTTTTTTTCCCCCCAGAGGTTATGATCCAGTTGAGAAGACCTCAGGCCTTGCTGGATGCGTTTTTCTGTCCATCTTGTGCAGTATTTGGAAAAGTTCAGATGCATCTGAGAGCAAACCTGGAAACTGTGGAGGGTGGAAATATTTTTAGATTCTTTTTTTTCCTTGAGGGAATTGGCAGGCAATGAGGGTTGGGGAGGTTGGGCGGGGTGGGGGGTCTTTCTTGAGTTAAAGGGGCTTACATCTGATGTCAATACTTCTTGCTCTGAGAAATGAGGTATGTGTGCATGTGTATAATGTGAGAGTGTGGTCATGTGCATATGCATGTATGTGTGTGCTTGAGTGACTGACAGCATTACCACAAGCCACAGAAAGTTAGGTAGGTGTGCTGTTTTATTGCAGCTCATAAGGTAGTGCAGAGGACCCTGTGTGTCTTTTCCCTTACAGGCAAGAGGGACACACGCTTTTTGGTTAGCTGCCTATAGATCTAGGAGTGGGTTGTGCCAGGTGGGAGTCACCAGTGCTGGTACTAGAAGAGTCCTGAAGCCTTCCTGCCACCATCTCCCAGCGGTGGAGCTGGGGTTGATGCCCCCCTTAAGAGGCTGCTGCCTGCTGGAAGGTTGGCTGGACCGCTGGGATTCAGTGTATCTCATGGGTCTGACAGTGTGGCCAGTCCTAGAGGTCAGGGTTGGGCATGGTGTGGGGCACTGAAGGCAGCAGGACACTCACTTCCTTAGCTCTGCAGGGACTCTGGGGAGCAGACACCAAAGAAATGGGGTTAGTGGTCCTCTAGGGCTGTATACTCACAGAGTGGCTTCAACCTGTAAGTCCTACTCTCCGGAATCCTGTGATCTTCTTTCTGCAGGAGAAAGAAGGCAAAAATGGTTTTTGGAGCCAAAGGTTGTCCAGGGAGGGGCTATTTGATCTCATCTTTCCTGTGGAGAGGGAATAGGCAGGGGCATCCACTTACTCCAGCTTCCAACAGACTGGGGGAGGCAAGCTGGAAATTATCAGGGACATATTTCCCACCAAGCCCACTAAGAGTCAAGTGAGGGAGAGTCTGACGGCCCAGGGGACTGGAGGAAAGGAATTCAGACAGGTTAAGAAGGGGAAATGTCCCCAGTAGCACACCAACAAGTCCCCATTCCAGCCACAGGCCATCCTTGCCCTCTTCCCCTGAGCCCCAGCCACCCTGACTCCATTCTATCTTTTGTGAAACCCACAGTGGATGTCATAAGAGCCCCCCTAACTCCAGCACCAGTACCCCCTAAAGTCACAGATTGTGCATTTCAGATGGTCAGCAGCCAAAGGCCTCCAGAGGACTGCACAGAGAGACCTGTCTGGCAACAACGCTTAGCAGTGACTTGCAAGACGGAGCAGATCTGAGCACTAAGAGACTTAGCTGCTGGGGATGGGAGAGGCCACATCTGCAAGAACTTCATCCTCTGAAGCAGTGCAGGCAGACCAGGGTGCTCCAGCTCTGTGGGTCTGCAACACCCTCCCTTGTTTGACCCATGCTGGAAGACCTGCTCCTGGTTCTCCCTCTGGGAGCCTGTTCCACCAGCCCATCCCAATAGTAGGTTTCAGGATATCTCTCCACCAGTCCTCGGGACCCAGAATGATCTATTTCTTTATAACATTTATGGAGCACCTCTTCTGTGCCAAGCAGAGGGTTCAAAGCACCTGGAATATATCAGTAAACAAAACAGTCCTCGCCTCTGTCCTTAGAGGACACCCCACCCTGGGTGTGAAAGGAGGAAAGACGTGGGATCCTTGGCTTTAGGATCCCCAGTTAGAGAGGATGGAGGCTTGGCCAGGAAAAGAGGATAACAAATTGATACACACAGATCTCTTATGAGCCCAGGGAGGTGCCCTACCATGCAGCACAGTCCAGACTTCCTGGGACTACTTGATTCAGTTTCCTTTGCCCTAGAATGAAGAATCAGGTGGGCCCCTCCTCTGCTTTGGGAATGAGGTAGCCACTCCAACCTCAGGGGCCTGACCTGGACAGTTAGGCCAGGCCTGGCTATGGCAGCCTCTCTCAAGCCCTCTCAAGCTGGCCAGGTGGTCTGGTCATCTGTGTCTCTGATCATGCCTGGCATTTGGGAAGAACAGAAAGAAGTGGGGGATGGGTCTCTGGGCTTCAGGACACACATTGCAGTGTGTCAAATCCACATTGGCCTCTCACTATGAGGGTCAACACCCAAAACAAGAAGTTCTAATTTGGGGGCAAATGAGGAAGGACATTGATCCCATGCCTCCTGCGGGCCTCCTGCGATTATGACTCGCCCAGTCCCTCACCACCAGTGACTTCTCCACTGGGGCCCCATTCCGACAGTTCTCTGGGGACCTCAGCAGCAGATGTTCTTTGCTGGCTGGGAGATGGGTGATGGGGCTCTAAGGTAGGAGGAGACAGCCCAGGATGCTGTGAGGTATCTGAGAGGTTCCCTCTAACCCATCCCTCCCTTTGCTTCATGTTTTTATAACAATCTTGTGCTGGCCAAGCTCAGTTTCCCTGTATGATGCACATGTATGTGTTTGTGTGTGTGAGTGTGTATATGTGTTTTTGAAATATAGGAAATCAATAAATTGCTAGTATTTCTTTGAACTTTTTAAAACTGTGGATTATTTGGGGTGCTGCTGAGGAATGAAGGGGCCCCTTAACTTCCTTTAAGGCCTGCTGTTACTCATGCCATACCAGGCAAGGATTGAGAATCCACCCAAGAGCAGAAGAACACTTCCACCTTAGTCATGTGAGTCTCACCTGTGTGTGATGTGACTGTGTGATGCCAGAATTGCCTGATTTTACAGACAAAGCAGGGCTGCAGGAGGGGACACATAGGCTTGTGTTACCAGCTCATAAGTGGAAAAGTCACCCTAGGCACACCAGTACCCAGGTAGGATCCTGTAGCAAAGAGAACTGCAAGGCCACATCCAAGGAGATCCTGTCTCCTGAGGGCCTCCTCTGCTGGGCTCTGTATCACGTACTGGAGGGTTGCAGACACAAAGGTAATGGACTGCTCAGCAGCAAGATTATCACAAAGGACAAATGTTCATGTGGAACCTTCTGAGACACATGAAGTAAATGTTAAGGATGGTGTGGCCATAACTGCTTGGGCCACTTGGCCAGAGAAGGCTGGGATGCCAGAGGAGAGTGTCTGCAGCCCGAAAGAGTGGTGACTTCACAGCCTCTAGAACAGCCCATGCTTTGGCCTCCTGGAGCATCTGATAGCTTAATAAAGACCAAAGAGGGCACGGAGCAGGACAAGGAGCCACCCACAGCCCAGGGGACATTGGCTCCAAACTGTGATCCAGATTAACAGATGCCCTAAATCCAAAAATGCTTCAAGACTTACAAAACAGATATTGGCTGAAAAATGAGAGGTTCAGTTACAAATTTTAAATCAGTGCATGTTTACATGTTTATGTTTTCATCAACATATAGCACGTAGGCCCAAAGCGTGCACAACTAAAATGTGGGTGCAACACTATGGCTCTCCTCAAATGGACAGTGCCCACTACCAAAGCCCCACTTATGCCCATTCCTCTTTCTGTCCCCTTCCCTGAGGGAAACACACAACACACAAAGCTACTATTCTTTTTTATTTCAGTACTGGGATTGAACCAGGGACCCAGGTATGCTGGACCAGTGGTCCACCACTAAGCTATACCCCCTCCTCTCCCCTCTTTTTTTGAGCCAGGATCTTGCTAAGTTGTCCAGGCTGCCTTAGAAATTATGACCCTTCAACCTCAGCTTCTAAGCAGCAGGGATCACCATCCTGACATCTAACACCATATTTTAGTTTTGTTTGTTTTTGAATTTCATATCAAGGAGACAAATAGTCTTTTTTGTGTCTGCTCTGTGTGTGTGTGTGTGTGTGTGTGCGCGCGCGCGTGCGTCTGATTCTTTAGCTCTCTGGTATGTGTGTAAGATTGGTCCACTCCTAGTATTTGCCCCTGGTTCACTGATGTATGGCAATCCACTGTGCAACTATCTTACACTCCAAAGTCTCCACCACTGTTACATTTAGTATTTACAAACATTTGGAAGTGATTTGTCAATTTGCTGCCTCAGTTCCCCAAGATCCCACATGTAATGTGATTATTTAGAAATTGAAGCTCACATTAAAGAAATTAGATTTTATGTGGGACATGGGAGCATTTACAGTGTAGGAAGGCCAAAGGGGTGCAGAGGTCATACTTCAGCCACCCTTCGCCAAGAATGTTGCAGGCTTGCAGGGAACTGGCTGTAAGCGTGGGAGCAGTTGAGCTAATATGGGCACATGGAAAGCTAGATGGCAAGGAAAAGATTCTATAAACCTGGAGCCTAAGTCCCAAATCCTCATGTCTTAGTTGGCCGAAGGTCTATCTGCCTGTAAATCTTGAAGGCATTTCCTGCTACTCCCTTTGCTGCTAAACTGGCTTGGACCCAACACCCCCCACGGAAGATAAAGGATCATATTTTAGAACACAGTATATTGTGCTTCCTAGAAAATTGGGAGAAAAGAGTGAAGTCTGAGGAGCTACACCATCGCCCCTTTTTTTTAGCACTCAGGATAGGATGCAGAGAGTTCACACTGATCTACATTGCCAGCCCTTTTTTAATCTTTTATTTTGAGGAAGGATCTCACTATATTGCCCAGTCTAGGCTCAAATTTGGGATCCTCCTGCCCCAATTTCCCAGAGCACTTAGGTTATAGGTAAAAGCCACCACACCCAGGTACTTTAGCCCTAAAGGATTCATTTTATGTTTAGGTGTGTGCTTCATTCTAGTGAGACAGGCAGAGCACAGGGTAGTAAATTCCAGCTTACAGATAAGGAAACTGGGACTCCGGGAGAGAAAGTGATTCACACAATCACATAAGAATGTTGTGACAAGCAAACTTGAGACCCAGACGTTGTACATCCCAACCCAAACCCACTCCCAAGACCCTGAGACACAGTGGAAAGACTGCCATGGAGAGAACAATGTGCATGGCCTAATAATTAGGGGCATGAGGCATCGCACAACTGCACCTCACACGAGGGTGGCAGCTGAGCAACATACCGATAAATCGAATTTGGGCTCACGTATTATCAGATGTCAGAAACTATCAGATGTCAGCTGATGTGTGTGCATCAGCTGGGCTGGAGCCAGCTGGTTTGGTTAATTAGAACATGAGGTGAATGAGACCAGGGCCACAGGGAAAAAAAAAAAGTGCCTCAATGACCCCAGCAGGCCCTTAGTCCTGCAGACACCTGCTGCAGGTTCAGCATCCTGCTTGTCACCTAGAGACAGTTGAGTCTTCTCTGGGAAACACCTCAGAGCTGGGAGCCCACTGGTGGAGGACCAGAGTCACATCGTACACAGAAAGAACTTCACGCTTCACGTCCAGAGCCTTAGTCGAGCATCAACAAGTTTCCCAACTGGTGGGATAATAAATAAACGGAAAGCTCTGCAGCTTTCTGCACCTCCAGGTGATTAATGCTACTCTCCACACAAGGACATTGCAACCCTGCTCTCTGCACCTCTCTCAAAAGGGAAACTGAGTCCATGTGTGCAGCTCTGGATCCTCTGAGACTCACACTCCTGCATTCTGTATTTTTCTGAGGGACAGATGGCAGTAGAGGACAGATATAGTTTTTGAGAAGGTGACCATCAGCAGTGGTGGACACTGGAACTCATCAGCTATCTTTAATCTTCACAACCTTCTATATTCTGGGTTTAAGATCAGGACAAGAACCTACCTCCCACTCTATTCATGTTTCCTTTTTTAATTCAAGAGACATCTTCTCCTCCAAAACACCTCTCAGGGCAGAAATAGACGTTAATATTCACCATCACTGACTCCTGAGAATGAGAAAAGATCAAACCCATTTTCTGGCCACTCGACTCTGAAAGGGGATACTCAGCCTCGGAAACCCTTTGTGTCTTATAGCTTGTCTTGCCTGGTCCCATGTCTGCCTGGCTTCAAGCCCTCATAGGGAAGAGTCTTTGGTCTTGGCCCCAACAAACAGAGTTCACTGTCCTCTGAACAAATGGGAGGATGTCTAGGAAGCTGAAGCCAAAGATGCTGGGGCAGGTAGGGGCTGGGGACAAGGGTCCTTCTTCTGGCACTGATCCACAAAGGGGATCTCCTTGACAAGCAGTATTTGCACATTTCCTGTTCCAGAATCCTCTGGGTAAATAGCATCTAACACTGAAGACAGAGACACAACACAGGCAAGAGAAACTACCCACGCAACAGACTCTTGGTGGGAGCTCCAGTTCTCTAAAGGTGGACACACACACACACACACACACACACACACACACACACACACAATCTGAGACACCACCTGGCACCATGTGAGCACAGAGCAGGGGTCTCATAAAGATTCATATACTGAGTAGGACTCTTCTTGTAGCCCAGCACTGGTGAACATAACACAGCAGGAGACAGACTGGTGTCAGTTACCCCCGCTGACATCTTGGAGCAAGGATCTGAAAGCTTATAAAACATGAGAGTGACTGAGATCATGGGAGACCGGGCGGGAAGTAGACAGAAGAGAGAAGCAGGTCAGAGACTGTGGAGCATCCCCTAAAGGGAGTGGAAAGAAACAGCAACCCAGGAGCACAGACACTGGGAAGACAGGCAGAACGTACATGGAGGAAAGAGGGATGGGGAGAGCCTGAGGAATGCATGTGAGGGTTGAAAGCAAAGTACAGGATTTATAGTTCTTACCCCCTCCTTGGCCTCCCCACTTTTAGGTAAGATTTTGATACAGTGAAATGCATGACTCCTCAGTGTACTATTCAGTGTTTTAACAGATACACACAGCTGTGTAACGCAAAATCTATCAAAATGCAGAAAGTTAGTATCACCTCAGAGGACCCTCATGCATGTCCCCAGCAACACGCATGTCCTCCTTCCAGGAGGCCAGCACTGTTCTGCTTCCATCATAACAGACTGAGGTTGCCTGATTAAAAACAAAGTCTGCAGGATCTATTGTGTACACTCCCTTTCATTTCTTTCTTTTTTTCTTTTCTTTTCTTTTCTTTTCTTTTTTTTTTTTTTTTACCTGAGATATTTATTAAGAGAAGGCGGCCAGGAGTCCAGTACATGAAATAGGTCTGTGAATACACATTATGTAAAAAGGAAATCACATTACTTTTATCATTATAAGAACCTCAGCTCCCAAATAATAATGACTCTTGAGTAATAAACATGTCTCCAACATACTGAATGTTAAAGTGCAATAACTTCTCCCTGGCAGTGACTGCAGCAATTAAAAGTTACATTCTCCTATCTAATATAGTCATCCAGCATTTTTCCTTGCAGCAAGTAATGTGACTGGAGATTCAGCAGACTGAGCTTTCTGTAGAGGTAACTGGACCCAGAAAGTGTAAAACATTTTCAGTCATTTTCTCAGCAGGAGTGCTGCAGAATTCAACTGTTGATGGAATCTTCTTTTGACTGCTGATTCTGTGGCAGAAAAACAAATATCAAACTGGACGGAAGATTCTTTACACCAAGGAATCAAGAAGGCAAAGTTTATTAATCTAGTGGGCTGGTGGGAATCAGTTCCAAATCACCAGCCCGGGGCTGATACTGAATCCAGTTTGAATACGTTTTGAAGCAGGAAGTA